AGCATTCAGTAGAACTAGTATTACTGTATAAGTGATTCTGAGGTTGCTAACTGTGTTACCTGCCCTGAGCATTTGGATTTAAGGGCTCATTTCTTCATAATCTCAAGCAAAACATCTCAAGAAATGGACACTCATTCGTAGGGGTTAAAGTCGATGTTATTTTTGGTGTTCCCTCCAGTAAAATCAGGTCCTGAATGTGGGAGGAAACCAGAAGCTAAGAGCCAGTTCAGGAAGACAAAGATGCTTGATGCAGCGTCCTGCAAAATGCTTTGAAAAAAATAAAGGTATATTCTTCTAGTGAAATAATTTTGGGGAATATTGTATAATATAATCTCTTGAGAAAAGAAATTGCATATTAGCTCATTAAAGCTATGGAAAACCCTACAGTAAATATACCGATTTTAATTAGTTTGAGTCAGTTGTGTGTCAAATAAACAAAATTTCTTAGAATGCTTAGAATTTGCTGATAGCACTCCCTCTAAAACATCACATAAAAATCTTTGTAATGGGGAAAATTGTTTTCTTCTGGAAAATTTGTATACATAAGCCTTTCCCAAGTAGGAAAACAGATTGTGCCTACTCTTAGCCATTTATCTGCCTTGTTTCTAAATTTTTATTTTTTGCCCTATTATTTTAGTGTTTGATTTCTTAAGATTTTTGGTTCTGTAAGGCAATAATAAGTGTAATAACGAGATCTAAGAATTTTATGCCAAATGTATGCATTGTTCTGTTGTTTTAACTTGTTTTTTCTCCTTTTCATCTGAGTAATTATTATGTTTTCTGGGGGATATTAAAGTGTAAACACAATGAAAATAAGAATCATCGCTATAGTCTAATCAGATGCAGTTGTAACACCATAATTAATTTTGAATAATTTCACATTTTAAAACAGCAAAATTGGAAGCACAGGGGACCCTCCTCTCCTGTCTAAAGTTTTTGTTTATTTTTTACTAGCTCCAGTCTTACTAACAAATGATTCACCCAAATAAAGGAAAATCACACAGAGAAATAAATTCTGTCTCTATAAAACAAAGGTATTCTAAAGAGTCTTTAAAATAAGGAAGCATCTTTTGTTATAGCAATAAGAGTTGTGCATGTTATTGCAAGTAATTTAAACAATATCTAAATATATAAAATGTAAACTAAAAGTCCTAGGTTATCCCTTGCTAATAACTACTCTTTACAGTTTAGAACCCCTTGCATTTAAAAAAAAGAAAAACATATTCGAGTATGTATATAATATATATATCTGAGTATGTATAATACACATATATATAATATACACACAGGGATATAAAATGACTATGTTACAGTGATAAAGGTTAATTATATAAATTAACCATATTAGAAAGATAACCATAAAAAGAGATTTAAAAACTGGGCTTTCTTTTATACTTTCTTACTTATTTTTTTGGTGTGGAAGCTCTGATTGGCAGCTGCCATTATGATCTCTCTCTCTCCTCCTCTTTCTTTGTTTTTTTAAAACAAAACCTCAATTGTGTTGGCCTTAAAATTCTCATTGCTTGATAGGTGCCTATCAAACCCACATACCTTCCCTCAAAATTTCCCACAACATTTCTAACTGCTTCAAGCTTGTCAGGACAGTTCTGCTTAGTCTAGCTATCTTATAAACTTCATTTTGATGACCCATCTCATCAAAAGTACTACAGAAGCCTCATGTTTATTCATCATTTGAACATGGCTCATGAAGCTATTATTCAAATCTCTGAATGCTCTTGCTAATGTATTTCATAACAAACATATATCCATAGGTTTTTAAATATTCTCATAATGTCTACATGTGCTCAGCCATCTATATTTAATGACAAGCTATCATTTTTTCCCCAAGCAAATTTCAAACATCTTGGAGCTATCTAATTCACAAACACAAACTTTCTGTATGACCTTGGTCGATCTTGCTCCATCTCCTGAGTATATAAATCTATGGAATGGGGAACAGTATAATGTATAAGGGGGGTCCCCCAAAGATAAACCTGAATTATCTTCTGGAGGTTGGACCCCTTGTAGTACTGTCTTCCCCACTGGCTGAGTGTTCTAGGAACCCATCTGTATCAGTGTACCTACGACCTGGTGTTGTTCTGACAGGCAGAGTTCAGTGTCAGTGAATTTTTTTGAAGACTCTTGCAACAAGTTTATCCATTTCATGGTGGGGGATTGACCAGTGCACCTGCCCACACCATGCTAGTGCTCAGCAGCTTTTGACCAAAAACAGCCTGACCCTCATGCCCCACCCTCCCTACTCACCTGATCTTGCCCCAAGCGACTATTTTTTGTTTCCCCAATTGAAAAAGTCCTCAGAGGGAAATGTGTTGCTGATGTGGAAAAGGTGAAACAAAAACTGGCAGAAGAACTAAAAGACTTCAAAACTGACAAATTCAGAAACTGTTTTGAGCAGTGGAAACAACATCTTGATAGGTGTATTGCATCAAATGGAGAGTACTTTAAAGGTGATTGAAGTTCAAACATGTAAGAATAAATACACACTTTTTTATAAATGAATTCTTTTTTTGCATCCACTCTCATAGATCACTTTTCAAAAATATGATAATTGGAAGTTGTGAAGTGGTTAGGATTTATCAGCCTAGGTTTATTTTGGAGATACCAATCATATGTCATATTCATTATCTCATTGAAGCTATTAGTTAATCACTCAGTGTGTACCCCAGACTGTCTATTGACCTAAAAAGAAAGAGTCTCCTCTTCCCTTTCCTTCCCAGACATCACAGACTTGAGGCAAGGAAGCCCCAAGGCAGCTTCAGGCACTGTTCCAACTGGTGCATTTAGTTGGAGTCTCTCTTCCTGTTGGGTTGTCTTAAGAGGTGCACCTACCTTCTGGGCCTAACCACAGAATTCCTGCATTTTTACCTGAATCATTCTTACTGAGTCTGGTTTTCCCTGCAGCCAAAGCCAACTACTGAACACCCTTATTATTTCTGGATTTGTGTTTTATGTAACGGCTGGGATGGGGGTGTCCTTGTTTCTTCTCATTTCATCCTCTGCACTGTTCTTATTCTAACAAGGAGATGTCTGCACCTAAATTTCCAGGCCTGAGGCCACCTCTCTCCCATGTATATTCTTCATATATCCCAAATGATATAGGAGAGCATCTACTTTGCCCATATTCCAAGGTCCTGTTCAGGTAATCTAATAGAAGACTGAGGCTCCTATTCTGCTCACCTGTTATCCTATTTCAGGACCCAAGCTCAACCTCTTATGACTGTTCCGCAGCTGGGCCCTTTCCTCTTCAACTGATGTCTCAGGTGCTCAGAACTACCTGAGGTCTGGCATTCGGCTTTCCAGCAGCTTTCTCTGTTCCTGTGTTCTACCTAATTCTTGATGGATCCTTTGAATTTCTCTGTTGTCCTTTGGTCCCTACATGAACCTGAGACTTCTGTTCCTTTGAGCTCTTGGTCTGCGGGCATCCAGGCCTGCTTCACACAACCTGTCACCCTGCTAATGCATGGCAGCTGAGCAAAAAGTTCTCCGGCCAATGGATTGAGAAAAAGCTCTGTTAAATGATTGGTCAGGATTCTTCTCTGTAGGATTTACCAAGCCTTTAATGTGCTTGCATTCACAATGGTGAGAATAATATGTTGAAAGAACATTTGTTTTTCAAAAATATCCTAAAGACCTAGTGTTATATAGAACATGTTTTGGAAATGCTTTTAATATATATATATATATATATATGATTAGATGAGGGAATCTCCATGGTCTCTTTTAGTTTTACAGATTCTGATTTAATGATTCACATGAAATGTTTTTGGAGATAGTGACTGAAGTAGAAAAGTCTGTTAGTGTTTAGTCAGCTCTGTCCAAAGAATAAAGAAACCCTGCATTTTGGGTACTAAGGAGTTGTTTTCGGTAATGAAGCAAGGCAAAAGCAGAAGACTAGCATTTCTTTATTTATTCAATCATTGTGAGAATATTTATTGAGAACTACAGCATGCCACGCATTTTTCTGGAGGCTGGAACTTTAATGGTGGATAAGATTAATACTCTTCCTGCTCTCAAGAATCTTAGAGAAATCAGCTGGAGCAAAATATCCTGCAAGCCATCTGATAGCTTTGCCCTGAGTTTGTGCATTGCCTCATTTTTTATTTCCCCTCAGTCTCCTTTTATAATGAACTGGATTCAAGTTTGCCATTCTTCTATAATTAAAGAAAATGAGTGGACTACATAAGCAAATATGCATATTGGCATACAACATGCAGCAGATAAATACATGCACAGAAATACATACAAAGCATATGTGTAGATAAAGAGACAATCTTTATCTAATGTTAAAAATAAAATGCTACCATTGATATATGTGTGAGTTGTTCAGAGCATTGTTCAGAACACCTGTATTAAAATAACCAGGGAAAATGCAGGTTCCTGGGCTCCACTCCAAATATTCTGATTTAGAGGATCTGAGGGATATGCATGTTGAATTAATACCGCATAAGATACTTATGCTCACTAACATTTAACACTTTTCACTATTGAGACTCCAAGGTGGGGACTGAGAGCTGGAGCTCGCTGCCAAATGGACCTGGATGGATCAGAGCACCCACGTGGGCTGAGGTGAGGGCTGGCGGGAAGGGAGGCACCCATTCTCCTAGTGCAACAATGTCAAGAAGGTGCCCAGCATACAAAGTTTCAAAAAGTGCTAATTCTCCTTCTGCCATGCCTCAGAGAAACCCCAGCTGACAGCTGAGCACACCTGGGGCTTCTCACTGTTTCCTTCCCAGTTCAGCAGAGTTTATTGTGTTTCCATGTAAATTCTTCAGGGAGGATATCGCTGGATTCTTTCCAGAAAGATTGGAGACCTAATTTATAGATCTAATTTATAACTTGATTTTATTGTTTATTTTTTTAAATTAGGTTTAGGTGTTGATAAAAAGTCAAAGATCAGGGTACAGAGGATTGTGGGATTTTCTCACGTTACACAAAAATTAAAAGCCTACTAGTTTCAGATCAAAAGTCTAGAAACCTCCATCACCACATTTCCTGTTTGCAACTGAACAAAGAACACACAAAAGATTTTAAGAAACAGAAAAGAGAAAAAACTGAGGTAGAGACAAAGACAAGTTTTACTGTCATTCTTCTTCTAACAAAGCAAAATTACTCAGAAACAAAAGTTTGTGAGAGCATTTGTAAAACAGGCGTTTGCCTTATGGCTACATAAGGAGTTCTTGAGAAAAGAAGTATGCCGGGTAAGTAGAATTTTTAATTTTTTTTCTTTTGTTCCTATGCCTAAAATTTCACTCAATAACTTCAAGTCTACTGCAAAGACACTTAAGATTTGGAAAGTAAATTAGTTTATACATTATTTTTAAAATGTGAGATAGCCTTGAACATAATTAGAACACATTTGGAAATCTATTAATCAGTATAAACGACTATTTTAAAAGAAAAAAATTGGGAAGTGATTTACAATATAAAGCTAGTTGAAGCTATTCAGTGTTTTTTCTTTAATCACTATGACATGTAAAGGAATTGTTATTTTTAAAGGAACTTTCATTGACCATACACATTCCTCTTCAGTGTTGTTCAGTTACAAAGCAGGCTAGGAGTAACTGCATTCTAATTCTTTAGAGTCTGGGAACTAGACCATCTCCCGAGGCTGGTGGGGGTTCCATTGCCTGTGCAATGGACTGTAGCAGTTGACTTCATGTTGACTGGCTGTGTCTCTCCCATTGATGGTTCATTCTTCTTTCATTGTTTAATGTACTTTTTATTTTGTTAGTGAATGGGTTTTTTGTGGTAAGAGAAAATGCATATTTATTGAGGAGAACTGAGAAGTATATATGAAAAAGGAAAAATTATTGAGTTACCATCTCATAATAAAATTCAAGATAGTACATTGTATTTCCTCCCAATTTTTGGTTCAATACATTCTACATGGTTTGTTTTTCAAAACCGAAATAATAATGCACATAAAATAATAATCCAACTTTTTTACCAACATTATAACATAACTATTTCCTTTTTTATAACTCCTACCTAATTATTTTACATGAATGTACAAAATAACATCTATTGGGTTAAATATAGTTTACTTAGTTAATTATTTTTTTGTTGAGCATTTATGTTGTATCTAGTTTTTCTTTTTTATATTTTAAATGACAGAAAGATGAGCATCTCTATAGCTCATCTGCTAAGGATTATTTTTTAGGAAGGATTTCTAGAATTGGAATTACTGAGTAAGAGGCTGTGAACATTTTAAATCTCATTATTATCAAATCACTTTTCCAAGAGTGATGCTAATTCACTCTCTTCCTAGCAGTGTTTCTCCTTAACAGGCTGATCTAATTTTTTAAAAAAGAAATCTTTTCTAATAAAAGCACAACAGGCTAACCAATTGTTTACTAAGCATTACTTTGATTATAATGAGGTTGAACATTTTTGCATGGGTTTTAAAACTGTTTATAATTCTATCACTTGTAAATTGTCTGATTATATCCTTTGCTTAATTGTTCTGCTTAGAGGACTTAACATTTATGAGTATGAACTATGTATTAAGATATTGTATCTTATAATTTCTGTGAATTTGCATCAGTGTTTTGTTTGCTGGATTTTACAATCAATTGATTGGGTTAATCACATGGGAGCGTAAGTTGACATGCACAGTCTTCATGCCGCTCCTCCTTTTCCAGGGTTCATAGATCAGCAAAGAACAACAAAAAAATGTGTTCCAGTTTTGCTAGTGTCCTGCAGGAAATGAATACAGCAACACTAGGAACAACTGCCATGAGCTAATGGTGATGGGGAACTCAGGAAAGCCAAAGTCAGTGAATATGACAGTCAACTCTTTCCAGTATTAATTAATTATAATTTTATAAGTGAAATGGTAATATCCCCTCCATGGCATTTTATAATCTAGTTTTCCCTTCAGGTGTAATAAGGGAACTCCTCCATTGTCGATTAAGATCTACAATTTCACAAAAGAGAGAAAAATATAAAGTATTCATGGTGAAGCATCATAGATCTTAAAACAAAACAAAAACCTTAATGTGAAAAAAGACGACAGTCTCATTTTGTTTGTTACATTGAGATGGGTGAAGTAAAAAAGAAAATGTTTGAACACAACGGGTTAAATTCCTAGTTAATTAAAACTAGGTATGAAAAGAAAACCCCAAATCTTTCCTTCTCTCCCACCCATGTGCCTCTGGTCACTGCATCAATCCATGTGCGGCATCATAATTCCTGCTGTGTTTCTGCAGTCACACAAAGTCAATATTAGCTGAGCCGAGTGGAGAAAACAACTCCTTTGGGCTACCATTAATTTCGTTTAAACAATGACTCCCACTGTAGTTACACTGCTGTTTTTCTAAAACAGAATTTTCATTGTCTTTATTCAGTTTGCTTTTCCCTTGGGCCTCAATCGCCTTTTTGAGAAAAATGAAAGCCTTTCTTTTTAGAAACCAGGTAGCTGGTTTCTAAAAGGAAAGGCTTCTGAAAGGCTGCAGGTAGCTGGGACTGATTTATGAATCATCTTTCAAATTCAGCTGTTCTCTAAAATAAAGGTAGGTTACAGATCATGTTTGATTCTTTAACTTAGATAGTTTGGCAGTGGTTTTAAGGAAAGTTAACTCAGGAAAAATTGTCACTTAAAGGTCACAGATGAGAAATAAATGTCCACAAATTGCTAATTAATAATAAGTATTGTAGATCACTTTTCCAGGCATTTGAAATTTCATTTAATTTTGTCAGCATTCCCGAATTAAAAAGAAGAGAGAAAAATGAACAGACCTTCTTAAGACATTAAAAAAACATAGTAGTGAAAGAAATTTGTTAGATGAACGTTTTCACACACCCATGCCGTCATCCGAGGGCCTCACCAAGGTGCTGATCCAATAGGAAACAATAGGTATGGACATGGAAGGGACAGCTAAATGCAGATGAAGAGAGATTCGCCTAAAGCAGGGATTTTTGCCGTTACTTTCATCCCAGCAGGATTTCTAAAGTTTACCAGCTACAGTTAAAGTTTAATTATGAAAGTGACTACAGGAATGACAACATACTGTCTTAAGATCTACCCTCCACTTCACACACATCCGTATGCTTTCCTCGATTAAATTTGGTAAGTATCGGTTAAGGGCATTCACGATGTGCTTAAAGGATGCACGCTGACATGACAGCAAGTCTGTGACTACACTCACTACTCCCTTTCTCCATGTTGTTTGACAAAGACATTGCAATGGGCTGTATGGCTATTGTCCCTTTCTCCTTTGTGGCCTCTCTTGGACATACACCACTCACTTCTCAAACAGCCCTCTGTGTATGATAGACATTTAAGGTTGACAGGTTTTAATTTTTCCATGAAAAACATTCTCTTATTCACTTGAAAGCCTGGGACTGGATTTGAGAACCCCTCCCGGTGCTCCTACCATTCTAATGACTTCTAGTGATGGGTCACGGGGGTGGACAGTCATGGTGGGCTGTCTGGGCAGTGACAATGTGCCACATTCAGAGAGTCATGAATGTGCCTGGTTAGCCACCAATCCATCAGCACAGTAAGAAAACTCATGGGGTTGCTATATCTGAACTTTTTCTTTGAATTTTCTGGGGTGCCTAAAATAAATACACATACACATTCATGGAATGCAAAGAAGGGTCAGTCACTTCTCTGACAGAGTTCATGAGGCAAGAAGAGAAACCATCAAGAAAAGTCATAACCTATATACTATAAACTCATACACTTGTCTCAGTTACAGAACCCCTGAAGGAGAAACAATTAAGGCATTATATGTATTGCTTTTCTATTGTTAACTTGTTTAAGTAAAGGCTCCTGTAAGAATCAAACCTGCAAGCAGAAAGACGTTACATTTGCTCAGCTGAGTTTCCGTCCAGAGCACATGTCACTGTGAATTTTAAATACAGTGCCTACCAAGTACTATTGGTTTTAAGGGAGTCAGAGTTCTTGTAATTAAACCTATCTCCATTAGCCTCTGGCAGTTGAAAGCTAATAAACTTAAATCATGGCTTTCCTGGTTGTCATTGCCTCACTAATGACTTCTTGTGGCCTTTGGCTTTTTAACAGTGTAAATAGCTAAATTCACATTATGTGGGAGTTCTTTTTAAATTGATAAAAGCTATACAAATGAAAGTAATTATAATTAATGAATAAAGATACTAAAGATTAAATTTGTTAGGCAGGAATTTTTGAGCACTTTGTGCATTCAGTATTATAACAGGCACTGTCTCTGCTGAATAGATACCCACACAATCTAGAAATATTCATATTGCACATGGGAAATAACTGGGTACAGGAAAGATGAAGTGGTGTGTGTGTGTGTGTGTGTGTGTGTGAACATTTACACAAATCTCCTGTTCAAGTTGAATATCTTCACCATGTAGCTACTCAATATCTTCTCATCTCTGTGTGTTTTGCTTTGTTTTCCAAAATGGGGGGGGGCTATTTATTGTTGGCAATCAAAGATTATGTAGGATATCAAGAACGTCATGAAATACAAAGCTTCTAAATAAAAATCCTCCTATGTAAAACTCAAATCACATTATAAAGGGAAAAAAATCTTGAGGGGAAAAAAGAGTTCAATATTCATATGAACTCTTAACATTAGAGGAAAACTGGAGACCATGCTGAACCAACTTTACACATTAGAAGTTAGCCTATGGTTTAAATTGGTTATGTGAAACAAATTTACTGTTATAGTAAAGAACAGTGAATGATAAAACACAGCCCAAGAGGAATGTACATTGTGGTCCCATGTTTTTGCCTTAGTGTTGCTGACATTTCATGAAAAGTATAAGGTCTTTCCTTAAAGCTTTCACATGAAATATAGGCTTGTGAGACTAATTTAGCTGTTTGTTTATAGCTGAGAGGGAAGTGTCTTCTTGCTGCAATTGATGAACTAATACAACTTTTTCAGGGCTTCCTTTAATTAAAAAGGTAAAAGAGAAACTTATAATCAAAATATAATTTTGTGCAAATGATATATAATGTATAGCTAAAAAAATCAGTGTATTTTAAAAATAAGATTAGGGCTTTCTCCTTACTGCCTCGAAGCATATATTTTTAATACTGTGCTGTATTTTATTTACCCAAACCACAACTATTTATTGAGTATGTATTAAATACTAGATGTGAAAAATGGAGAAAAAAACACTAAGTAGAAAGGAGTATGATTTTGTTCTCTCAGGAATGATACATTCTAGAGGTTTATTATTATTTTCTATGTATTTATTTAAT